AAAACTCAGGAAAACATTGCAATTCAAGCCCAAAGGCAGTTTGTTGGTGAACCAAAAGGGGTGATGTTTCAGATGAAGTCCAAAGTCCATCTGCTAGCAGAATTCTCTATTATTTGGAGGAGGTCAGTCTTAAATATACCCACAGAATATCCAGAGTAATGTTTAACCAAATATCTGGGGACTGTGGCCCAATAAATATGACATAAAATTAACCATCACAACTGCTTCTACCTCTTAGTTCTCAGACTCATATATTATTCCTGTCATGGACACAGCATAAAATGGCAGTCTTTAATTCAGTATACATACTGCATCCTAGATGGCACACAACTTCTGAGATGGTATATCAGCTCTACTTTAGTAGGCCATCGGATTACTCTACCAGGCCATCAACTTCTGTATTGTTAAAAAAAAAATGCTATTGATGGGTCCCATGGTCACTGGCCCACATCTGTACCTCCTTTTCTGTGAAATGGGTCCCTCTGTCAGATTCTGTAGTATGTGGGATCTCATGCCTATGTATAAAGCTTGCTGTAAACCCCAGAAGTGATACTGACTGAGACTCTATGTGTAGGAAAGGCAAACCCATATCCGGAATAGGTGTTTATTCCTTTAAGAACAAACCACTTACTCTGTCAGGATACAAGGTTCCCAAAGTAGCCAATATACCACCATGTGGCCAGTAACTAGTTGAGTCATTTTGTTCACTTGCTTATTTAACTGTCCAGTAGTTGAGTCATTTTTTCTACTTGGCTGTTCAATACCTTTTGAATGATAGATACTCTGTAGTGGTCACTAATGAGTTAATAATACCATAGTGAATATAGTAAATCAGTTCAACAAGACAAAAAGTTGCATTTTTTAAGACACTAATAAAAGAGACAAATCTCTAACAACATCAAACAAAAATCTAAAGAAAACAAACAAATATATAGCATTATCAATTAAAACACAAAAATAGCTATAGATACAGGTATTAAAAAGATGAGAAAAAGTAAACAAACTCCTATTAAAGAAATTTTAAATAGAAAAAAATGAAAAAGTTTATGATAGAATATAACTTTCCAAAATGTATTCAAGAAAAAATAAAGACCTGAATAGTACTAAACAATAAAAAATTGAATCTATAATTTTAATTCTTCTATACATGTAAACAGAAAAAGGCCTAGATGGGTTTTACAAGTAAGTAAATTCAAGGAATCAGTAATTACAATCTAATATAACATTTAGAAGCAGAGCTGCTTTGATTGAATCTGAAAATTGGGGGTTCAACTTATTACTTAGACCTATCCCCTACACATCTTTGGATTACACCCAGAACCAAGTTTCTGTGAGCACATTAGGTTGCCATTGGCACCTTTGTTTTCACATAGTGCACAACCAAATGGAGTGGCCCTGCCCAGAGAGATAAAAGAGCATATTCTTAAAAACACATATTGGCCCAACTATTTAATTTTATATGAAAGGATATTGAAGACAAAACCAAATTAAATGTTTTTTAGTGTTTCTAACTGTTTTTAAGACTTTTGACTACACCAAACTCTTTTGAATTAACATTTCTCACATCTATTTTAGTATCTTGCTGAAAGAGAACCGTAAAAAATAGCATCTTCTTTCTGATAGGGAAAGATATATGTAGTTGACAAACTGGAACTCCAGACACATTTTCAACATCCTATCCAGGGAAAAGTAGTCATCTCCACTTTTCAGATGAAGTTTGAAACTGGCTAAGACATCACTCATAAAATTTAAACATCAAGAAAAATACATTCTTGGGGGGGAAATTACCAATGCTTACTACTAAAATAATTGTGTTAAAATTATTTTTTAAAGTAAATAAATAAATATATGTGGGATATCTTATTCTTTCAGAATATTTGTAAGTAGGAAATATCAGTCAACTCACACAATAGATACTAAATGATTTTCAGGTTTGTATGACTAAAAATGACAGAAAATACATGAAATTATTCATGTTCATGACTAAAATGTGAAATTGCATACAAAGTAAATTTTAATAAGAATTCCTTCACATTCACTGATGTAATACAATACATCTTAGAATCAATGACAGAATTCTAAATTATTTTAGAAATGTTTTATTCAATTATGCTCTTTATACTGCAAATAATTCAAGAAATGTAGATCATGTGCTCTTTAGAGCACTACTTATAAATATAAAAAGGATTCTAATGTGTCAGTATTTAAATATTCTTTAATATATTTTGTAGAACAAGTAGATAGAGAAAAAAATTATAATTATTATTGAAACTTTATTGTGTAATTTTATTGATGGCTAATATTATGGAAATTGTTTTTACATAGAAGTAAAATATTAAAACTTTTAATTAGGAAAAATTACCTTATTTAAAAAAATTGGCATGTTAAAATCCTTAACTAATTTGTATGTAAACTAAATGAATAGTTTTATTATTTTAGGTAATTAAACGTCATGTATACTCATCTTCCAAGTATAACTTAGTATCCATACTTCAATTTCAAAACTACTCTTTCTAAATAGATATGAAATGTTTCAAAGTGGTTAATATAATAACTTAGAAAGATATCATTGCATAATGTGCTTAATTTATGTTAAAATGACAGAAAAAATATATATACACAAAACTTGCTATAAAAGAGTAGTCCAATTTCCAGCTATCCTGTTATCTCTGTTTGTTATTCTCTTAAAACAATAATCACTAGCACAATAAAAACAACAGCATTTAATGGCACTATTAACTCAAGAACCTAAAACAGTAACTACATTAATTATATTTATTATGCTTAATTGAACATAATCATTTAACCTAACAATTCCTTGTACACCAATTAAAAAATCAGCATGTCTTCTGGATAAGAAATACATAAAAATAGTGTTCCTTTCTAACTTAGATCATTTCTAGTAAAAATGTAAGAAGCACAATTTAGTGTATACAGAAGATGTTAAATTATACTTAGTTTTAATATTATGATTTTAATTTGCCTTAGTGTCATATTCTTATTGATAATGACTTAAGAATATAATGGCAATTTCTTTTTATAATGTAAGCAATTGTTTTACAACAGATATTTTGGGATTTTTACTGCTCTTATTAAAATGTGATTTAGGAGAGGTTGCTACCCTCAATTGTTATTACAAATATCATCTCTCCCATCAAATTCCATAACAAAAAACTTTCACTCTCATTCCAAGTACATGACCTTGCATCCTTCATCAGAAAATATTTATTTCAACTTTGTGCAAATACCGATTTCAACTAAATATGTCCATGTTATTTTATTTTTACATTTCTTTGAGTGAGAAGTGTCCCTTGCCCACGAATGCTTTTGTCCCCAGTGAAACCACCCTTGACAAGGTCATTAATGACTACCATTATTATTATATTCCTCTGACACATTTCTATTCCTTTTTTATCTTCTCTGCAACAATTATCTATAGTTTCCTTCTCAAAATACTTCCTCTCTTATTTTCCAGGGCACTTCTCTGTCCCATTTCTTTTATTTTTTTCTCAATTCTTCCTTTTTGAGATTTCTTTCCTTCTCAGTATTAACTTCACTGCCACCAATCACTTGCTCCATTCTATGTCTGTCTTTTCTTCTGTAATATAGTTTTTTTCTTAATTTTTAAATTATATCTTGTACAAACCACGAGTTGAAAAAAGTCAGTAACTTTCCAAATAATCTCTACACTTTTCCTTTCCAGTATACAGACCACATATAATAATGATTGTTATAAAAGAGCTCCCAAATGCCAACTATAGGTAAAACACTATATAATCCATAACTCCATAAACCTCAAGTCAGCCTAATATTTTGGTATTAATCCCTCAAATAAAAAAGAATAGTGAGGGTCAGAGAATTTAAGTTGCTTAAGGTTTCACAGCTGGTAAACTAAAGCCATGGTTCAAATCTTAGTCTGATTACAAATGCACGTTTTTCTACCAAAGCAGGTTGCTTCTCTGTATCCAAATGATCTATAGATGTCTTACTTAGATTTCCAGTGTGTAAGCAAAACACAATTCCATAAAATGATTCTATCACCTCTTTCACTCTACCCTCTCAAATAAATATCGGACCTTCTCCTCCTTTTGCCTTTTCTGTCACAGTACATCATGCTACATTTCATCCAATAATTCAAGCCACAAATCAATAAGGCATATAGATTCCTTTATACATACTCTGTACACAATTCCTGTAGATTCCACTTGTTCAATAGTTTTCCACATATAATCTTCTCTGGCAAAGATCATTGCCACCATCTCATTTTAAGCCTTTATTTCTAGCCAGAATCAGCCTAAACACTAGTCTTTCTGCTTCCAAATATTTGCCTCACAATCCATTTTCCACACAAAAGCAAGAATGCTTTTCTGAATATATGTCATAAATAAATCAAATATGGATACTTGCCTGCTTGAAACAATTTACTACAACTGGAATCAAAACTAAATTTCTTAGTTTATTCTACAAAGAACTAGATGAAGTGGTTGCTCTTTGATCACTTCTCAGCATATAGACTCTCCCCCAGCTCCCTGCACTCCAGCTTTCTGACTCTCTATCTAATCCTACAGTACAACAACAGCTCCAGGGATTTCTACCTGCTTTCAAATATTCATTTCATTGGTTGCTTTTTGACAGTTAGCTCACAAATTAGATATTCATCCAATCGACAATAGACTTGTCCTCTCATCATTCTTGATTAAATTTTCTTGTTATTTTTTTCATAGCATTTATTGTTTATATATTTGTAAACAATACATGTGTGTGTGTGTGTGTGTATATATATATATATATATATATAACATTAATAAATTTGTTTATTTATTTATTTTATCCTGTAGCACTTGTCCCCTCATAGACACATCACTCTGAACAACAGTCTATACACAAGAATATTCTCGTAAAAACTGAGGAATCGCAGTGAGTGATCAGAGCACCTGGGTGCACAAAAATAAGAGAAGATGCATTAAAGAGGGTGAGAAAAACAGTTTTACTTTACTCACAGAACTTCCTCAAGCCGAAGCAGTGTAGCATAGAAAGAGATATCCTTCACATGAGGGAAAGAGAGTGAAGTGAGCTCTCAATATCACTGTGGACCCCAGCACTGAGCCTGTACCAGTGAACTCCAGAGCCAGGAATGCCTCATCAGACTCGCCTCAGCACCAGGTCAGCCTTATAGCCCCAGTTTCCAGACAGCATCCAAGTTCAAAACTGCACAAAGAGAAAAATAGGTTATTATATAATGATAAAGGAGTTAATTCAGCAAGAGGATATGCCAAATGTAAATATATATGCACCCAACATCAGTGCACATAAGCATAAGATAACTTCAAAAAGTTCATGGAAAAAATGGAATTAAAAGATAATATAAATCTTTCCATAAACTTTTTGAAGAGCCCTTATATATAAAGCAAATATTAATAGATATCTAGGGAGAGAGAGACTGCAATTCAATAATAGTAGGGATCTTCAAAGGGACCTTTGAGCAATGGATAGATCAATCAGACAAAATTAATATGGAACATCAAGCTTTAAATACACTCTAGACCAAATTGACCTAAACAGATATGTACAGAGCATTCCAACTAATAGCTTTAGAATAGACGTTTACTCAATCACATACAAACCATTATCCAGGATAGATCATATATTAGACCACAAAACAAGTCTTAACAAATTCAAGAAGACTGAAATCATATCAAATATCAATTCTGACCACAATGTTATAAAACTAGAAATCAATAACAAGAGAAACTTCAAAAAATTCATAAATACATGGAAATTAAAATATATTCTCCTCTGCAACCAATCCATTAATAAAGAAATTAAAAGGAAAAATGAAAATTTCCTGAGACAAAGGTAAATAGAAACATAACATACCAAAACTTCTAGAATGCAGCAAAAGCAGGAAAGTTTATGGCCATAACACCTACATCCAAAAAAATGATATTAACCTAATGTTGCACTTCATGGAAACTGAAAAACAAGAATGATTTAATCCCAAAGTTAGTAGAAGGAAGGAAATAATAAAGATCACAATAGAAATAAATGAAATAGACACTAAAAAACAATAGAAAAGTTCAATGAAATTGAGTTGATTTTTTGAAAAGACAAACTAAATTGACAAACATTCAGCTAGATTAGTTAAGAAGAGAAAAGGCTGAAATAAATAAAATCAAAAGTAGAGAAAGGAGACTTTACAACTGATATCAAAGAAATATAAAGGATCATAAGAGACTATTAGAAATAATTATAGGCAAACAAATTGGATAACCTAGATGATATGAGTAAATTCTTAGACACGTACAACCTACCATGACTGAATTATGAAGAAATAGAAAATCTGAATGGGCCAATAAGGAGTAAGGAAATTGGAACACTAATTAAAGTCTCTCATCAAAGAAAAGCTCAGGACCTGATGTTTTTTGTGGCTGAATTTTAACAAACATTTAGAGAACTAATACCAATTCTTCTTAACACTTCAAAAAAGTTGAGGAAGATGAATTACTTTCAAACTCTTTCACAATGTCAGTATTAGCCTGATAACAAAGCCAGGCAAGAAAAATGTAGTGGCAAATAGAATTCAACAATACATTAAAAATATTGTTCACCATGATCAAGAGGGATTCATGTCAGGGAGGCAAGAATATTTCCACATATACAAATCTATGAATGCAACACCCCATATTAAAAGAATGAAGGACAAAAACCATATCACCATATTATTAGATGCAAAAGAAGCATGTGACAAAATTCAATATCTTTTTATGATAAAAACTCGACAAATTAAATGTCGAAAAAACTTACCTCCACACAGTAAAGGTCATATGTAGACCCACAGCTAAGATAATACTTAATAGTGAAAATTTGATACACTTCTAAGATCCAGAACAATACAAGGATGACTAATCTTGTCATTTACATTCAACACAGTATTAGAAGTTCTTGCCAAAGCAATTAGGCAGAAAAAGGAAATAAAAGTCTTTCATTTAGGAAAGGAAGAAGTGAAATTGTCACTGTTTGCTAACATGATCTTATATATAAAAAAACCCTAAAAGGTACTCAGGAATTTTTAATAATTTAGTAAAAATTATGAAAGACCTTACACTGAAAACTATTAAATTTTAATAAAAGAAATTGAAGAAAATAAGTGGTAAGATAGCCTGTGTTTTTGAACTGGAAGAATTAATATTGTTAAAATATCAATAATACTCAAAGCAATCTATAGATTCAATGTAATCCCTATCAAAAACAATGTAATCCTTATCAAAATTCCAATGTTTTTTTTTCCCTCCTCAGGAATAGAAAAAGCAATCCTAACATTCATACAGAACCACAAAATAAACTTAAATAGCCAGGGCAAATGGCCAAGGTAATCACAAACATAGAAAAAAAACTGAAGGCATCACACTACCTAACTTTGAATCATACTACAACACTACAGCAATTGAAACAACATGGTACAGGCAAAAATAGACTAATTGACAAATGGAACAGAGCAGAGAGCTCAAAAGAAAAAAAAAACATGCACATACAGGCAATTCGTTTTTGAGTAAAGTGTCAAGGATACACAATGGGAAAAGAGCAGTGTGTTCAATAAATGGTGTTTGAAAAACTGAATATACACATAAAGAAAGAAAATAGACCCCATCTCACATTATTTACAAAAATGAAATCAAAATGGATTAAAGACTTAATGTAAGACCTGAAATTGTAAAGCTACTAGAATAAACCATAGGGGAAAATCTCAATGACATTGATCTGGGTAACAATTTTTTGCATATGACCCTAATATCATAAGCAACAAAAGCAAAAATAGACAAATGGGATTACATCAAACTAAAAACCTTCTGCATGGCCAAAGAAACAATGAACAGGGCGGAAAAACAACTTACAGAAAGGGAGAAAACATTTGCAAACCTAACATCTAAAATATATAAGAAACTCAAACAACACAATAGCAAGGAAAAAACATGATTAGAAAATGGGTGAAGAATATGAATAAACATTTCTCAAAAGGGAACATACAAATAGCCAACAGATATATGAAAAAATGTGCAACATCAACAATATTCAGAAAAGTACAAATTAAAACCACAATGAGATATCACCTCACACCTGTTGTAATAGCTATTATCAAAAAAATAAAAGGTAACAAGTGTTGGCAAGGATGTGAGGAAAAGGGAACACATTGTAGGAGGGAATATACATTGGTACAGCCATTATGGAAAACATTATGGTGATCCCTCAAGAAATTAAAAACAGAGTTACCACATGATCCAGCAATCCCACTGCTGTGTACATATCCAAAGAAAATGAAATAAGAATGTCACAGAGATAGCTGCACTACCATGTTTATTGCAACATTATTTACAATAGCCAAGAAATAAACTAATTTTCCATCAATGAATAGGTAAAGAAAATGTGGTATATATACACAATAAGATACTATTCAGCTATAACAAACAGGAAAATGCTATCATTTGTGACATGGGAAAATGTGGAAGACATTATAGTTAAATGAAATAAGCCAGGCTTAGAAAGACAAACACCACAAGATTTCACTCATGTGTGGAATGTAAAAAAGTTGATCTTATAGAAATGTGGAATGTGGTTATCAGAAACTGGGATGTTGGAGGGGAGGGAGGGGGGATGGCGGGGCCAGGTAGTGTTGGGGAGATATAGTCAAAGGATACCAAATTTCAATAGCAGAAATAAGTTCAAAGGATCTATTGTATAACATAGTGAGTATAGTTAATGACAATATATTGTTTTCTTGAAAAATGCTGAGAGTAGATATTATGTATTATCACTAAAACAATGTGTGAGATAATGTGTATGTTAATTAGCTAGATTTAGCCATTTTTCAATGTGTGTGTGTGTGCATGCATATGTATATTCCAAAACTTCATGTTGTGCAGAATACACACCATTTTATCTGCCAATTAATAAAAAATGGGCAAAGGACCTGAATACACATTTCTAATATATATATACACACACAAATGGTCAAAGGTATATAAAAAAAAATGCTCAACATCACTAATCATTAGGGAAATGCAAACCCAAACCACAGTATTACCTCTTACTTATCCAAATGGCTATTATCAAAAGGACAAAATATAACAACTGTTGGTGAGTATGTGGAGAAAAGAGAACTGTTGTACACTGCTTGTGGGAATGAAATTGGTACAGCCACTGTGGAAAACACTATGGATTTTCCTCAAATAATTAAAAATAGAATTGCCATATTCACCAGAAAGCCTACTTCTGGGAAGATATCTAAAGGTAATCAATTGAACAATTCAAAGAGCTATCTGAACTCCCTTGTTAATTGTGCATTAGTAACAATAGCTAAGATATGAAATTAACCTAGGTGTCCTTCAAAATATGAATGGATTAAAAAAGAAAGGGTGAATGTGAGCATGCATGCACACCCACACACCAAGGAATATTATTCAGCCAAAATAAAGAAGATAATGCTATCACTTTTGACATGTATAAACCTGGAGGACATTATGCTAAGTGAAGTAAGCCAGGCACAGAAAGACAAAAATACCTCATGATCTCACTTACATGTGGAATCTACAGAAATCATAATCACAGATGCAGAGGGTAGAATGGTGATTGCTGGTGGCTGGGAGTTGGGGACAACTGGAAGATGTTGGTCAAAGAGTACAATATTTCATGGGCTGGCCCGGTGGTGCACTGCTGCAGTGCGCCGCTTGGGAAGCACGGCGGCACTCCCGCCGAGGGTTCGGATCCCACATACAGACCGGCCGCTCACTGGCTGAGCAAGGTGCGGGAGCAACACCGAGGGTTGCGATCCCGTTGCCGGTCCCGGTCCGGTACGGGTGCAACACTGAGGGTTGCGATCCGTTGCCGGTCACAAAAAAAGACAAAAAAAAAAAAAAAAGAGTACAATATTTCAGTTAAACAGGAAGAACAAGTTCTACAGACATTGTTTAAATCATGGTGACTGTGGTTAATAATAATGTATTGAGTTCTAAGTTCTAAGAATAGAACTTACATGTTCTCAGTACACATGAAACACATGTGAGGTGATGGATATGTTAATTTGCTTGATTATGGTAATCATTTCACAGTGTATACATATATTAAAATATCATGTTTTACACAGTAAATATATACGGTTAATATTTGTCAAAAAATAAAAAAGTTTAGGAGAGCAGAAATCTTATTCACCACATAATTTGAATGTCTAAAACTGTGTCTGAAACAATATGAATATTTATTAAAGAAACAAAAATAATTTAGTGGCATGCTAATGCTCGATTCAAAAAAGTAGACACATTTATGATTAGATTATCTAAATAATTAATTAGTTCTCACTTCTCAAAAAGTTTATTGAAAAATACCGTTAGCTTTAACATCACTATTCCCTCTGCCATTTCCTACTCCTTCAGCTTTGTAACTCATGGTCTTCATTCCAAACAGAGCTCACACTTTACCTGATATAGGAAGCATTATTTAGCCTATAACTTAATCTGATTTAGATATACTGTACTATAAAATAAGCCATGCAACCTTTTAAGTATTTTTGTTACTTTTGGAATATAAAATAAAAGTTTTGATATACACAGAGCCTTCAGTTTCTGGGAATGTTTCTGGGAGGTTGTTTTGCTTATTATGGTTAATAGAATATGGCTGTCTAGGTATTAGGACTGCCTCTTCCATTGAAAACCACTAAAAATGCATAAATATATTAAATGAAATGGAAAGATGATAAAATAGAATTTTCTGGCTCAAATCCAAGTGACAGTAAAACCCAAAGAATTAAATTACTCTGAAATTAATTTTGCTATAAGGGCATTTTCCAAACTGGAGAACCTTGAATTTCAGGCTTTTCTGCTTTAGGAGCAAAACACCAGAAACCAAACCCAGAATAAGTTCTGTACAGGTTCTGTAGTGGAGATATACTCAATGTGAACAGAGGATCCTGAA